TGGAAATTTTTAATTCAAATAAGATTTTATCTATTCACATGCTAATTAATAATTAATAAACCCTTTTTGTGAACTTATATATATGAAATACCTTGATTAAACCTGAAACAAATAATAAAATCATATTGCTAAAAATAATTTGCCACATATATATTTACATGATTAAGTATCCAGTTTACTGTTCTATATAGAAACTTTGTGGTAGAAAAGGCCTAAATGCTATAGATATTATATATAGCATTTAGTCTTTTTCTACTACAAAATTCCTATATAAAGTTTGGCTTTTCTCACATTGGCCCCTTATAGTTGTCAACTTGTAGTGAATAACTTTTTAACAGTTTAAGCTTGGGCACTATACCTCTTCAATTAGTGCCTAAAAAAATACGAAGTCATATTAGTGATATGCAAAAAAAAGAAATATATAAAATTGCAAAAAAAAATTTGTTATATTGATATCAAAAAATAGCAAAAGAGTTTACAAAACATTATCCAAATTTGAATATTGAACATTCAACTGTAACAAAAATACTAAAGCAAGCTGATAAGTATCATCAAATTAAAAATGATGAACAAGCTAAAAAACCTTTCGCCATCATTTAGTGAAGTATCTGAAGCTAGAACTTACCATAACTATATGAGTAGAACAGATTACAGCTAGTAGAATAATTATATCAGATTTAATAATAAAAGAGAAAGGTCAACATTTTGCAAAAGAATTTAGCATATTTAAAAAATTTATCGTATTTTTAAATAGATGGGTCACTAAGTTTAAAAAATGAAATAAATTAAGAAAAATAGTATTACATGGTAAAGTGGCAAGTGCACCCTTAGAAAACCTACTTACAGAATATGCCAAATTACAAGAACTTCTTTCCAAGTATAATCCTAAAGATGTATATAATGCTGACGAAACAGGCCTATTTTAATGATTATTTTCAAATCAAATACTTTCTAAAAAAGTGATAGCTGAAAAAAAAAGATTAAGTAAAAAAAATATATAAAATAAAAAAATAAAAAAAAAAATAAAAAAAAAATAAAAAGGTTTTACTAAATCACATCAATAGTATTCAACACCAAATTTGCTATATCTCAAAAACATACTAGCAACATACATTAGAAATACTAAACAAAAATATTCAGCATCACAAAACTTCATTCTACTAAAATTTAGATTTATATCTTTATTATAGTTTAGTTTCCTTAATACTAAATTTTACTAGCAAAACTATTAAAAAATATATATAGCATTAAACACTACTAGTATCATTTAGTAAAACAAAAATAATAAAAAAAATAGAACTAAAAAGTAAAAAAATAAATTCTTTTAGAATAAGTTAAGAATAACTGTATTATTTTGTTTCAATTCGATTAGTTCCCACAAGATTTACCTATTAGTTATCAGTTCCTCTAAAAAACTATGATCCTTTAATGGAGTAAATCTATCGCAATTATCGGTTAACTATCGAAACAACAAAAAGCATGGATAAGAAATGATATATGAAAAAATAGTTGAAGTTTATTGATGCTGGCTTTTGTATCCAAGATAGAAAGATTTTGCTTCTGGTTGATAATACACCTTCCCATATAACATCAAAGTAATCTAAAAAACCTGAAGAAATCAAAGAACCCGAAGAACCTGAAATATATGAAAACTCTGAAGAGCCAGAAAAACCCAAAGAACTAGAATTTTAAGAAAAGTCTGAGAAAAGGTCATGAGGAAGGCTACAAGGAAGGCTACAAAGAAGATCTCAAAGAAAGCTCTGAGGAAGGCCTCGAGGAAGGCCACAAAGAAGATTCCAAGGAAGGTCCCAAAGAAAATCTAAAAAAAGGTCCTAGATTATTCTTATCTAACAAATATTACTGTATATTTTTTCCTGCCTAATATGACTACATATCTCTAACTAATAGATACTGGTGTAATAAGATACTTCAAATCAAAGTATAAAAAGCTCTATTGCCATTATTTGCTTGCACAATTTGAAAAAAATCAAGAACAAAAATAAAAATTTTGGTTTAATGTTGATTATTCTAGTTTGGAACAATATCTTAAAAATCAGAACTCGAAGGTACTAAATTCTAATACACTAAATTATAAAAGATCAAAATTCCAAAAGTATAATATTTTGAAAACTAAATCTTAAAAAAAAAATCTAAAAGATCATAATTCTGAAAGATTACAATTCTGAAAAATCATTATTCTAAAAATTCATAATATCAAAAGTAATAATACTGACAAGTTATAATCTTGAAGAATAACTATGATCTTTCAAGTCTATAACCTTCTATGATTATAATATTTCAGTATTATAATCTTTCAGAATTGTAATTTTTCAGAATTGTAATCTTTCAGAATTATAATTTTTAAGGTTTTTTTTTTCAAGATTTAGTTTCCAAAATATTATACTTTCAAGATTGTGATTTTTCAGAATTTAGTATATCAGAATTTAGTGTCTTTGAGATATTAACCCGAACCTATTATTCCTTGTACTAACTGTTTGTAAATATAGAAAACTTACTCTATGACAAGCTATCAATTTTATTTCTGATGCATGGGATGAAGTTAATGACACTACCATAAAAAATTGCTAGAAGGCTATCAGAATTATGCCAAAAGAAAGTAAATAAGAAAATAGACCAGAAAATAAACCTGAGGATGTAATCTCTGAGATCGATGATATTAATATGCTACTAGAGAATCTTTTAATTGAGAATAATCTCGAAGTTCAAGAGCTAATAAGTAATATTGAAGAATATATCAACTTGATTGATTACCAGTCATAACTAAGGATGTATTAACAGATGAAGGTATCATAGAAATAGTAAATTACGAGTTTGATAAAGAAGAAAATGAAGCTAAAAATAATGATGATAAAGATCCTCCTTCTTTTCTTATAACTATTACTAAAGCCATAAAAGCTTTAAAAAAGGTTATTAGTTATCAAGAAAGTCTTGAAGTCAGAAAAGGGTTTAAAAAAAATGAACTAATAGCACTGCAAAAAAAACTTAAAGAATAGTGTTATGAAAAGGATAAAAACAAGAAGCAACTTTCAATTTTATTTTTCTTTGGTCTTAATGATTGAAATGGCTATAACAGGACCCCGAAGATCTCTGATACAACTTAGATCTGAGTTTGTATAATATCAGCCAAATAGCCATATAAAATAGGCCAAAATTTAAAAAGTTACTATATAAAAATGCAATGTTTGATGAATTTCTACACAAAATTTCCTTTTTTAGTAACCTCTAAGTTATATCAGAGATCTTCAAGATCCTGCTATAACTTAGGGGTTATAAATTACTCGAATACTTAAGAAAGAAAAAAAAAAAAAAGCAAAAAAATTGGAATGAAAAGTTATATATAATACTCTTACAATTGCATATTGAACATATAGAAATATTGTTCTTGTAATATTTGATCCTACCAAGTAAATAAAAATTACTTTTGTTGAATTAACAGTTGTATTCAATTCCTTCTTACACAAAAGATTTTTTTGGCAAATTTTTTTTAGTAATTATACGTTAATAGTCTACGTACTAAATCTATTCTTACAATCATAAATAGTAAGGGCAGTATCATTTATCATCTGATTATTTTTTATCAGAAGCTTACCCTCCTCCCCTCTCTTAATATAAAAAAAATCGGATTCTTATATATAATTTTAACTTTTTTACCCCCTCTCCCCTAAAAAATCATCTAATTTTTGTTATATCCTTAATGGTATGATCAGCGTTGTTTAATTAACTTGTAGTGGCAAGTTCATAAGAAAGATTTTCTGGTACAAGACAGTAAATTAACTCATTTTAAATTTATTGTTAATAATAATATCTTTGATAGATTTAAAGCTAACAGAAGATTTATTTATTTCTGAAATACATGCTTTTTTGAAAGAAACTAAATACTCGATTTATAACTTTTATTAGTTTATTGATTCTTGCCTGACAAAAAATTTTTTAACTATAAATTTTATATTTACTATAAAAAAAAAATTCTAGACTCAATGTGCATAAGAGCAAAAATTTGTAAAAATCATTAAAAATAGTTATAAGTTTTCACTCTTACATACTTAAATATAAAACTTAATTCAAGAGTACTAAATACCGTGCATGTGATAAAATAATAATAATGGCGAGCCTAGCTTTTATATTCAAAAATATTAATATTCAGATCAATTTTACTCAATGATTTTGAGTTATATATTGGTATATACGTACATACGTACTTACTATTATGTTTTATTATCTAGTAGAGCTTTGATCCTATTTTTGACAGACAATCTGGATTTTATTAAATCCAGATTGAATCTGTATTAGATTATATATAAAGCTAGCTTTGTAGTATATCCTTAGATTTGTTTAGTAAGTTTTTTGGCCAATACAAATGAAAATCTTTGATCTAAATATCTGAATCTACCTGAATTTAAAGATCAATTCAGATAGTCAGATTAAGGATTAAAGCTCTATTATCTGGTATGTGAGTACTTTATAATTTAGGCTCATTCTAATTGGTTATAAATCAAGAATTATTATTGGCTAGTTAAATGTGAATTTATAGAGAACAATTTATATAGACCATTAATATAAATTTGTGATAGTGATTATAATACAATTGTGATTATATAGAATTGAAATAAGTATTAAAAAGGTTAGTAAATAAATTAATGTGATTATATTGATTTTGTGATTATATGGAGGATGACTATAAAGAAGTTCGACTATATTTAATTTATCTAAAGCAATTATATAATTAGTTAAAATAATTTTTTAAAAATTAAAAAAAAATTTACTAAGCAAAAGAAGCTTTTGCTTAGTAAATTTTTTTTTCAATTTTTAAAAGATTATTTTAGCCAATTATATAATTGCTTTAAATAAATCAATTATTTGATTTAACTTTACAGACAAAAAATATATTAACTTTAATAAAAAATTTTTTAAACTACTAGTAGTTAAGAAACAAAACTTTTAGTAAAAAATTATAAAATACTAAAGAATATATATTTAAAATTTTAAAAAAAGTTTGTATATATTTTTTAACTTTAATAATTTTTTTATTAAAATTTATATATAAAATTTAGTGTGTCAACTTATTTAATTTATAAGTAATAATAGATTCATTATATCAACTCTTCCCACTGATCACTTGTACACAAACAAACAAGAAACAAAAACAGCCAAAACTCAACAAAAGCTATAGAAAACATCTGATAAGGCCCTAGGAAGAAAGGAAGAG